GGGGCTGCGTGTCCCCGGGACGCTGTCGGCGGGAAGCTTGAACGAGTGGGCGGTCGGGTCGTTTTAATACGGTCCGGCCCTTCGAGTTTATCCTCTCTCCTCCCAGTGAAGCGCTCTGGGACTGTCGGTTTATGGGCTGCTTTGTTAAAAGGATTTGGTAGTTTTCAGGAAAAAAATAAAAAAATCTCACTTTGGTTTAAATTCAGTGGAAGCGCATCAGGGGAATGAGCGTGTGGGATGTCTGAGGCGGGAACGCTGCCTGACGGGGCTGAAGAGCTTGGTCGGGTTAGGCAAGGGATGGTGGTTCCGAGCAGAGCGGGTGAGTTATGGCAATGAATCACAGAATCACAGAATTTTCAGAGTTGGAAGGGAGCTCTAGAGATCATCTAGTCCAACTCCCCTGCTAAAGCAGGATTGCCCAGAGCACATTACTCAGGACTGCATCCAGGCGGGTCTTGAAAATCTCCAGAGAAGGAGACTCCACAACCTCCCTGGGCAGCCTGTGCCAGTGCTCTGTCACCTGAACCGTAAAGAAGTTTTTCCGTGTATTTGAATGGAACTTCCTATGTTCCAACTTGTGCTCGTTGCCCCTCGTCCTGTCACTGGGAACCACTGAAAAGAGTCTGGCTCCATTTTCCTTCAGATGCAGAAGGAGCAGAGGCATATGGAGACTTGTCCATACCGCTCTCTGAGCATCATCCTTTGGGTGAACTATCCACAAAACCATGCCCGGGCTTTGTTGAGGAGAGAAGTTACCTGGACCAGCTGCAGCAGAGCTGGGGAAAGAGCTGGGAGAAAAGCAGTGGCCGATCTGGGGTCCAGTGCAATTATTAACCTGTTTTTATTCAGTTGTATCAGTGGATCTTGACTGCCTCCCATGTTCTTGACTATGACAACAGTGCTTAAAGATGAAGTCTTCCACTGGAGAAGGAAAACTTAGCAGAGGATTTTTTTTTTCCACTCTGTGTTAGCAGGCATGTTTCTAATAAAATGATTTTTTCAGAGAATAATTAAACACTTTGCAATTCCATCAAACATTTCTACCCGATGTGCCTTTCCTTCTCTTTGCAGATTTTTTTTTTCTAGTGTATAGAGGCATGGTACAGGGCTTTGGTTTCACAGTGAACCCTTTCTGACTAAATTGTAAGTTATCCTTCTGATGTGGCTGAGCAAAGGTTGTAATCAGCATGGTGCCGTAAAACCCAAGAGGCGAAATTAGAGCAGCGTATAGATTTTAAATAAATAAACCCTGGTTGAAAGATGAACTAGCCTGTAAACAGCCTTGCTTTTCTTACTTCAAAGTGTGGCCCATCGTCATAATTCTCATAGACTAATGAAGCTCTTACTTGGGGCAGAAAGAACAAAAACTGTTCTCAATGTTTAGGACTTTTAAGGGCTGCTTCCAGACTTATAAAAATGTTTTCAAGTTTTGTGGGTTTTTTTCTTCTTACAGGAACAGATGTCGTCATTGTTAAAAATGGCAGAAGAATATGTGGCACGGGAGGCTGCTTAGCCAATGCACCTTTGCATCAGAACAAGAGCTATTTTGAGTTTAAAATCCAGTCTACAGGTTAGTTAGCAAAAATGTACAACTTTAGACTTGGAACGTATGTCAGATTGCCTGCTGGTGGTCATATCTCATATACCAAGCACATGCGTCTTTCTAATTGCATCCTTGAGCTTGTGAACATTGGAGAGTTTTATAAGTTGTCATTGTGTAAAAGGAAATTCCTCTTTTTTCTTTTTTTTTAAATTGTGGCTCTGAAATATTAAAAAGAATGGTAAGTATATTACTAAAGGAGTGCAAGTACTAAAACACCGTATTGTTTTGTATGCTGTTATATGCATGTTTTTCAGCATATTTTAGAAATGTTTTTTGGTAAATAAATGCTTATGACCACATAAAACACTGTAGCTATGAAGTATTTTTTAAAATAGTGTAGTTTATCCAGCAACATTTGCAGAAATTTGCCTACCTCCATTTGCTTTTAACATGCACTGTGTTTGCCCAAGCAAGGGTAACACTCCTTGTGCTACGTTTTGCTCTTCAAGTCAAATATGCAGCACTTATTCCGACACTGCCTTATCAAGAGGAGCCTTTTGGCACCCTCTTTATTTGTTTTGCACAGATCTAATGCAAGGCAGCTGAAAGTGAATGAAATTTGGAAGCATTATGCTTTTACTAATACGGTCAGCTTCACAAGTACAGAGTGCACTTCAGGCTTGCCTGTATTCTAACATTAAAAATCAGCCTGTATTTTTAAAAACAACAAATACTGTGAAAATGAAGCTGTTCTTTCCCTAAGTGTGTAGGGGGAGGGAAGAAGAAGGGAAGTGTTAGCCCGGAGACAGGCCTTACGATACCAGCTGGAGCTTGAACCTGGGGCTTTTTGGGTAAGGGTTGATTACATTCAGTTTGATTGGAGTGCAGGCAGCGTGAACATCCATCTGTCCAAAACACCTTGCAGTCAAGTCAGTTGTTTAGTTTTAAACTACGTGTAAACCTCAGCTCGGTCTTAACTTGGCAATTTTAGAATCTTTTCTGTTGGGGGAAGAATCCACTACAGCTGTTGTTCACATATGGCCATTACTCAGACAGATGCAATGTTCATGTTCTTATACTTAATTTGAGAAACACAGGAAATAAACTGTTCCTTATGAGCTGTGTCTCATGTATTCCTGTGCTCCAAGGCAGCAGAATTGTAGATCACTTAGCTTAAAACTTTGATTCCCAGAAGTGTCCCTGTGCAATCTATTAGGAGTCACCTATAGGGTTACTCTGACTATTGGAAAGTTTTCTGAAGTCTAATCTGAATCTTGTTCACGCTCTTGTCCTTTTCATTCTGAGCGCGCAAGTATTAGAATAAGTTGTTGTGCAATTTTGTCTTGAAACTCATTTCCTTATATTTTTGCTTCCTTTTAGCCTTCTGTAGATTAAACAGTCCCAGTTTTTTTCATTGTCTTTTTAGAGATGATGTTTTTACACTTCTGTTTGCCTTTGTTTCTTCTAGAATAGCTGTAATTGACCAAATTTGTCATAGGATCCTAGAATGATAGGTATGACGCTTAAAATGGATGCAGCAGTAGACATCCTTCGTCTGCTGTACATACAATATGTCTGCTTTATATGTGCCATTACATCCAGAAGTTTTTCACAACAGTATGACATAGACTATGCTTAGCATGTGGTCAGTGATAACCCCAAAATTATATTCTGTGAACTGGTTGCCAAGCCACTACTGTATTTGTGCGGCTTACTATTCTTACTTACTTGCTGTTCTTCGTTAATTCAGGAAAAGCAAATGCATTTTCCCTATTTCAGACCTCTTAACCAGTTTGTCAGGATCATTTAAAACTTGAGGGGCCTCTGAAGAGCTTGCAGTCCTGTCAGGTTGGTATTGGCAGCACCTTTAATAAGCACATTGTCACGTTAACCAAGTCATTGATGTGAATACGGAACAGTATCTGACCTTGGGCATTCAATACAAAACCTCAAACCTTACTTGAGTGATCTTTCTTGATTTGATGGGGTGCTACTGATGAGTAGTCCTGTAATACAGTTTTCTAACCAGTTGTGCATTCCTATTGCTCTAACTGTCTAGACCATGTTTTTGTAATTTGACTATTTCAATGTTGTATGAGGTTCAAAACCATCACCAAATCAAGATCTATCATATTTACCATTTCTTCTTTTTCCCTAAGACTAGTCTAACCAGCTGGAAAGGAAAATTGTATTGTTCACAAATCCATGCTAGGTGGATTTATTTTTTACATCCTCCTACAGTCTCAGGGTTTGTTTTCAGTATTTTTCTGGGAATAAAAGTTAAGCTAGGTGGTTACATTTCTCTGGACCCATCTTTTTCAGGATGGATGCAGTTTATCTTCAGTCTCTAGAGACTGCTTGTACTGGGCCTGGCCGGGAGGGAGTTAATTTACTTCAGATCAGCTCCTATGGTGCTGTGTTTTAGATTTGTGACCAAAACAATACTGATAGTGCACTAATGTTTCAGCTGTTGCTGAGCAGCGTTAGAAAAGGCCTTTATGCTGTGTTGTTTCTCACTCTGCGCCCTCAGTGAATAAGATTGGGGGCGCACGAGAGGTGGGGAGGGGACACAACCAGGTGGATGACTAACTAACCAAAGAGATATTCCATGCCACATAATGTCATGCTCAGCAATAAAAGGGAGAGGGGGCGTTTTAGGGAGGTTAGCCATCCTTTTTGCTTGGGAATTGGCTGGGCATTGGTCTACATGTGGGAGGTAGTCATTGCCTTTGCATAGTTTCATTTTGTTTTCTTTCTTTCTTTCTTCCACTTCTTTGCTTATTAAAAAAAAATATCTATACCCACGAGTTTTCTTGGTTTTACTCTTCCTTTCTTCGTCTGTGCCACTGGGGGCTGTGGGGGGAAGTGCATGAGTGGCTGGGTGGTACTTAGCTGCCTAGCAGGGTTGACCCACAATAGTCCTGGTATTTCCAAGAGATATTTACTGGTAGTACTGCCATGGCACTAGTTAAAAACACATTCTTTATGCTGTCCTGCTTCAGTCAAGTAGTCTTCAAAATAATGGCTTTTTTTCTTACTGTCTTAATGTCACGTTTTAGGTATTTGGGGTATTGGAGTTGCAACCCAGAAAGCAAACTTGAATCAAATTCCACTTGGTCGAGATGTCCATAGCCTGGTGATGAGGAATGATGGAGCTCTCTACTATAACAATGAAGAGAAAAATAGACTACCAGCAAACAGCCTTCCTCAGGAGGGCGATGTGGTGGTGAGTTTCTTAAGGCTTCTTTATCTTCCTCATCTATTGCCAGATTACTCTTATTTACTGCTTGGTGGTCAGACTGACTATTTCGGTCAAATTGTTCGGCTTGCATCTCCCAGTTTGGAAAGAGCTGATACAAAGTCCTGTTGTATTTGAATGGATCGGCAGCCTGGATACCAGTGGACTTCATTCTCAGCATTGATATTGTCCTGGTTTCGGAATGAGGGACAGACTTTACCAGTGTTTGAAAAGCAGCCTTGAATGCTCTGTTGCACTCTGGTTGCAATATCTACCTGGTGGATAACTCCCATCCCAAGGATCCTACGTTGTTTGAGATGAAACCTTCCTGAACAAATAACGTGCTGGATGGAGTGCATTACATAGCTATGCACCATACCCAGCTGAACTCAAGATCCCGTAGCTGACTGGTGAATGGTTAGAAGGACAGAGCTGAGCAGAGATAGGTCCTGGGTGACAGATGAATTGTATTTTTATCCAAACTTTTGTAGGGAAGGAGCGATATTGAGTGGGGAGGGGCCAGTGCTCACTGGGAAAATGATTAAGAATGAGAGCAAACAGAGAAGCTTACGATTTTTTTTGTACCTTATTATTACAGGTTCTCAAAACATCTTAAAGGGACTTTATTGAAAGGGTTTTGTGCTACTGCTGTAATTTTCTCAATGTCCTGTTAGAGATGTACTTTCAAAAATACATGGGAGCAATACAATGAAATTTACACCATTTATCACCACTACTTTTCCTTGCTGGGTAACCTAACCTTAGCAGTTAAAAGTTTCATCTTTAGAAGCCCCAAACAGCTAAGGTTGACTCCTCTACACTTTACCTTCAGATGCTGTATTAGAAGTTTCATCTTTAGAAGTCCCAAACAGCTAAGCTACACTTTACCTTCAGATGCTGTATTATTTTAATCCCCTTCTGAAACTGTTTTTTTGGAGGGTTGCAGACTCTTTCAGGATTTGGTCAACCTATGTAGTCTAAACAGCTTCAACTAATCACAAAAAAGTAGCTGATGTGTTACTGCTAATTCCCTACTTTTCATAAATTTCAATTTATTTTGTTCTGTCCTGAAAATAAATTTCTGAAGCAATGTATGACAACACAAATTGTCACACTCAGCCATACCAAAACAGTCAGAAAAATCATTTAGCTAACAATTAAGTAATTTATTACCTTGTTAGTGTTTGCTTTCTGCTCTGTAGTCGGCATATTTATACCGTTGTGTATGAGTCCGTGGTCTGTTGATGCTGGCAGAGAAAATGAGCTGAGAGAGGTTTCCATATGGAAGTATGGACGGATAAACTCAATTCATAGCATCGCTATTTATTAAAGTTCTTTCTGTGAGGAGATATAAACAAGGAGATTGCAAACTGCTTAATATTCAAAATCATTGAAAAATTTATGTTTCTTTAACATGGTGAAGAATAGTCTGGAAATTTGTAAACGGTCTTAAGTAAGATGTGGTGTGCAGTACTGTGCTGCATCCAAATTGAATGGGCGTTAAGGAATCCCGAGTATTTGAAAATACAAATGTTACTGGTCATTTATTAACTTCTAGTCCTTTGCAGGAATATTTCAGGTGAGGTTTTCTAGGATGCTGTGGTTTGCATAATAGTGTTAAAGTTTGCCTGTAGCTAAGAAAGCTACATTAAGAAGCAATCTTAAGTGTATAAACTTGTTGATGCTTTTTTGTTAATTTTCTGTACTTTGTAGGGCATTACATATGACCATGTAGAATTAAATGTATATTTAAATGGGAAGAACATGCATTGTCCAGCTTCAGGAATCCGCGGGACTGTCTATCCAGTGGTCTATGGTAAGTCAAAGATTTTCAAATTGTTTCACAGTATGGATAATATTTTTGTACCAAGTCTGTCTTCTGACCCCTGTATTATTCTCTCACTTAGATGGAACACACAGCAATCATTTATTTTTGGCAACTACAGCGATAAATTGCATGAAAATACAAAACTAGGAGAATACAAAAGTATATTTTCGCTTCATTTTTAATGCTGCTTAATAGCTAGAAAACAAAGCCCCACTTACTGACTTCTTACAGTGTCTACATCCAATAAGCTGGGGAGTTATTGCACTCGGTCTAAAAATTGCCAGGTAAAAAAACTGTGAGGCAGATGAAAAAAAGAAAAACAACAAATTCAAACTAATGTAGATTTGTGGACTCATCTGGTTTATCTCTGAAGCTTGGTATTTATGTCTGTTAATTTCACATACTTCATAAATGCATTCAGTGTTAAACATTAATAGATACTGAATTGTTATTTGTATTTTTTTATGGAAGTAATAACTTTAACAGCTGCTTGCTGTGTAGTGGTACAGCTCTTTGCTGCGATACCAAATTGATGCCCAGTTTTGAAATCCAACAATTGGTGAGCGAACTGTGGTAGCTGTTTTGCCAGCAACCATCAATACAACACAGCAGTTTTGAACAAGAAACCAATACTGTATCCAATTAATCCCTGCATAGGCAGCTTAAGAAAGAATTTATGAATTATAGAAGCTGGAATTTGTCCAAGACATGTGCTAACAATTTACTCTTCCAGAACTTGGTGGCGGTTTTGTACTTCCCAAGTAGTTAGAATTCTGTTTAACATCTCATCTGAAAGGCAGCGCTTCCCCTAGCTCAGTGCATAATCGATGCTACGCTCTGGGTTGGCTTGTAACTTACAGTGAACGATAACTGCTCATCGGATTCCCTGTGCTACACCTACAGCCATCTCCAGTTTATCTTTATTCCCGTGTGAGCTTCATCTAAGTAGTAGCCTCTTCCAAAATAATTTTGCTCTTGAGATATCATTAACTTATGTGATGGGGATAATTTTTTTCATTTCTTGGTTGGTTCCTAGTGAACTCTTGGCATGTTCCCACTTATATCTTGATACACTTGTAACATTGAATTTTATGAACAGGAAGAAAATAATCTAGATGTGTTGTAGAGCCTTTGAAGTCTGTAAATGTAGCTGACAAATTCTATCTTTCCAAGCTATTAGAGTGAAAATTTTATATGGTCATTTTGTGATGTGTTCTTCAGCCACATGATGGCGCTGCTAAAATGCTGTGGCAGACGGTAGCTGCCCTGCGGCACTGCGGGATCTCCTGCAAAAACCTTGAGCAGCCGGAAGAGAGTTGCTGTGTGATAATTGCTTGTAGCATCTTCCCTATATTTTGGAAATGGTGTTACATAGCATGGAGAATGCAGGCTTCTTTCAGAAGACATTTGATGGCATGTTAGCCTACTGTAAATATCTTTTTCTCTCACTAAAGTTCCATGCCTGGAGAGTGCACTGACCTTTCATTGCCAGGCTCCTATTATCATTTCCCACAAACGAGCATAATTTCATTGTAATTATCATGCCTCCTACATATATAACAATTGCAGTCTACAAATTGCTTTTGCGTGGTACTTATTTGGTATAAGCTTCAACTATAAATGTCCTGAATTTAATGTGAACTTCTAGTCATGTGAAAGCATTTGACCATAGAGAAGAGAGTTTCTTAAGCGTTTACCCTATCCATAATTCAGACTAGAACTATAGATATCTTTTTAAAAGAGACATGACAGAGCAGGCAAACACGGTGTCAAGCCTGAATGTAAAACAGAGAAGTGGTTGTTCCCTACAGCAGCTGTACCTCAGGCACTTTTGCAGAAGTGAGATGCAAATGCTGCGTAAGTACTACAGAACTGTACAAGTATATTAATAGGAGTTTTAATTGAGCCTAGGAGGGAAAAATTCCTACCTTGACTCCAAGATATCTAAATTCCAACCCAAAATATGAACATGAAGCTTGTCTATTTTGATCTAATGTTGCTAGTGTACCAGGTTTGACTTGGAAGAAGCTGACTTTGAAAGAGATCTTGATTTTCTGACTGGTTGGGCATTTCAGTTTGCTAATGCAACACATGAAAGCTCTGCTCTGAAAATCCTCAGAGGTTTCTTTTCTATATTCTACATTGAAGGATAGACACACTTGTGTCTCAGGTTATGCAGGGGGTCCAAAACTGGGAGAGGTATTATAAAAAAAAACATTAAAAAACATTAACTTAAGCACCCAAAGAATCTCTCTTTGGATCACGTGCTAAAACAGGTGGTCTAACACCAACCATTGCAGACATCTAAAACCTTGTAAACCTCCAGAAAAGTCATCACAGACAGCTGACACTCCAGCAGAATTAGGAAGTGGACAGAAAAATATGCAGCTGAGGAGGTGACAGCCCTGCAACATATATCTGGTAGTGCCCTTAATCTGTAGATTTCCAGAGAAATAGAGTAGAAAATTTGGTTGGAATTGCCTGAATTCTTGCTAACGCTCCCAGCAAAATCAGAGGTAGCATTCTCATTGACTTCACCAAGGACCAGTACCAACTAAAGTAAACAGCAGAAGAGAGATTTGCTCTCCTTGGGTGTGTATAGGGCTTTAGCAAATTTGTTGAAGAGATTTCTTTTAATTGTATATATGTAATGGATGTATTGGAGAATATGTGTCGTGATTTGAACATAATATATAATCTAGTCAGATGGTGTAATAGAGGATCAAACTGTAAGTGTTCCTTCTCTAATTCTTTTCTGCAGTTGATGACAGTGCCATTCTGGATTGTCAGTTCAGTGAATTTTATCATACACCTCCACCAGGGTTTGAAAAGATCCTCTTTGAGCAGCAAATCTTCTGAATGTCTTCATACCGAAAATTTGCACCCTGCACTGTTACAAAAGCTTTGTCATCTTAAATAAAGCTTCACATTACTTTTAGGAAACATATCTGTATTTTTAGTAAGTACTTGTGACCGTTGTCTGCAGAATTAATATGTTAACTGCAACGTCAGTTAACTGTGTTGCAAATACAAGATTTCTGACAATGTTTTGTGGTTGAAAATCAGTGTTTTGGGGCAGGGTTTTTTCTCTGATTTATACTTGATGCATAAGGAGACTGACAGATATTATTGACATCAGTATTACATTCAGTATTTTGAATAAACTGGAGCTCTGTAAAACCAATAGTTCTTATGCATATGATAGCTATGGAGATGGATAGTTCTCAAGATGTTTTCCCAACTTTTTTTCACACAGAAGTTACGTACTTTGTTGAAAGGAAGCACTGTGTTTCTAGTCTGTGATTTGGAGTTGCGGTGTCCCAGTTGTGCACAATGACTAATAATACGATGACATAACTAGCAGATAGATACTTTTTTTTTTTTTTGGCAAGGTGTAATTTAATCCATTCCCTCAATCTTACACTGGCAAATATATAACTTATCTATTTCTCCTAGCTTTTCATTTGCTTTTATTGTGACAAATAACAGGACACTTTCTAGTAATACTTTTTTTGTTGATCCTTAAAAAGTAAAGCTGAACACTTACCTGTGTGTTTGAGGACCACCACGCTGTATTACTCTGGTAGAAGAGTACGTACAGATCACTCAGCTTGGGTATGCAAAGAGCCAGCTGAAGGGTATGGGATGTTACGCTGAAGCCTTACATCTAAACTGTAAATTAGATTATTCTTTTATGGAATGTTGTATTTAATTTCTTTGTGAATCATTTATAAATGATTAATGGCTAAGACATTGTTCTAAAATGTGATGCCCTTGAATATAAATTGTGAGATGCTTCTTCCCCCCGCCCCCTTCTTGTCATATTTAATATACTTCCTAAAATAATTTTTATTGTAAAGAAAATCTTCATACTGGATGTTTGTTTTGTGGTTTTGGCTCTTCCTGGGTTAATGCACTTGCATAAATGAATGATTCTATTTAAATATTTTTAGAAATTATCTGATTCTGAAATTTTCAAATACAAACAGCCTTCTCAAAGCCTTTCACCTTAGGATTTTCTGCATTTGTCTTTTCATTCTGAGTGGTCTGTGTTTTCCTTCCTTTCAGCCTTGCGATCACATGACAGCATTGGGTAGAACTTTTCAACCTGAAGGGAATGATGCCCTTGTCAGCAGTATGCTGTAAAGCTTGGGAGATTAGAGTGCAGTTTTATCGTCTCCCCTTGAAATCTGCTCTGCTTTGCTGTGATCAGATATGGAATCTAAGCTACACAAAACATTCATATTTTTCGTTTCAGTTTTCCCAGTAGATGTGGGAGCAGCTGTCCCTGCTAGGGCAGAGGCTTGTGTGGTGGGGGGACCCTGGCTGGACACCAGGTGCCCACCAAAGCCGCTCTACCACTCCCCCTCCTCAGCGGGACAGAGGAGAGAAAATATAATGAAAGGCTCAGGGGTTGAGATTAAGGACAGGGAGAGATCACTCAGCAATTACCATCATGGGCAGAACAGACTCAACGTGGGGAAATTAATTTAATTTATTGCAAATCAAACCAGAGTAAGGTAATGAGAAAATAAAAACAAAATCTCTAAATCTTAAAAACACCTCCCCCACACCCCTCCTTCCTTCTTCCCAGGCTTAACTTCACTCCCGATTTTCTCTACCTCCTCCCCCCAAGCACTGCAGGGGGACGGGGAATGGGGGTTGTGGTCAGTTCATCTCTCGTCTCTGCCGCTCCTTCCTCCTCAGGGGGAGGACTCCTTACACTCTTCCCCTGCTCCAGTGTGGCATCCCTCCTATGGGAGACAGTCCTTCATGAACTTCTCCAATGTGAGTCCTTCCCAGGGGCTGCAGTTCTTCACGAACTGCTCCAGTGTGGGTCCTTTCCACAGAGTGCAGTCCGTCAGGAACAGACTGCTCCAGCGTGGGATCCCCACAGGGTCACAAGTCCTGCCAGGAGAGTGCTCCAGCATGGGCTTCCCACAGGGTCACAGCCTCCTTCAGGTGCATCCACCTGCTCTGGTGCGGGGTCCTCCATGGGCTGTGGGTGAACATCTGCCCCACTGTGGATCTCCATGGGCTTCAGGGGAACAGCCTGCCTCACCATGGCATTTACCCCGGGCTGCAGGGGAATCTGCTCGAGCGCCTGGAGCACCTCCTCCTCCTCCCCTCCTCCTCCTCCTCCTCCTCCTCTTCTTCTCTCTTCACTGACCTTGGTGTCTGCAGATTTGTTGCTCTCACATATTCTCACTCCTCTCTTCTGGCTGCTGTTGCCCAGCAGTTTTTTCCCCTTTTTAAATATGTTATCCCAGAGGTGCTACCACCTTCATTGATAGGCTCTGCCTTTGCCAGTGGTGGGTCCATCTTGGGAGCATTGGCTCTGTCGGACATGGGGGAAGCTTCTAGCAGCTTCTTACAGAAGCCACCCCTGTAGACCCCTGCTACCAAAACCTTGGCACATAAACCAAATACAACTTCCACACAGACTGAGCTTCAGGTGGCCAGTGCAGCCCTCCAAGTCCCAGGTTCCAGAGGGACCTAGGATCTTTCTCTGAGGCCAGGAGAGATGGCCCTCTGTCCTTCAGGAGGTGTGCTGTCTTGGAGAAGCTGTGCTGCCAAACGGAGGAGTTACAGGAGGAAGTGAGCAGGCTGCCCCATGTCAGAGAAGAGGAAAGGGAGATGGACAGGATCTTCTCTGAGACTTAACAGCTCGAAGAGCCTCAGACCCCATCTGCAACAGGGAAGCAGGCAGTGTCTACCTTGCACTATCAAGGTAAGCAAAACCTCTGGAGAAAGGGAAGGATGGAAGCTGGTGACTTCTGGCACCAAGAAGAAGGTTCCTGCCCCGCTTAAGGGCTCACAACTGCAAAACAGGTTCACTGCCCTCAAAGCTGAAGAGGAGCTAGATGTGCTTTCAAGCAAAGAACCTGGTTCACTTAACCCTAAACCATGCAAGACTCGCCAGATGAATGGTGAGTCATTGTAATGGGTGACTCCCTGCTGCAGGGGACAGAAGCACCTATCTGCCAACCCAACCAATCATCTAGAGAGGTTTGCTGCCTTCTGAGGGCCAAGATCTGGGACGATGTGGAGAAACTACCAAAGTTCGTCCAGTCCTCTGACTACTACCTCCTGCTGTTATTCCATGTGGGAGCAAATGATACTGCCAGGGGAAACCTGGACAGTATCAAAAGTGATTACAGAGCTCTGGGGGTGGTAGTCACGAGCATGGGGGCCCAGGTGGTGGTGTCAATCCTGCTCGCGAGGGGAAAGGGAGTGAGGAGGAGGGCACTAATAGGGCAAGTCAGTAATCAGCTGCAGAACTAGTGTTGGTAACAGGGTCTGGGATTCTATGACCGTGGGACCCTGTTTGCAGATCAGCGTCTGCTTGGGAGAGGTGGGATCTACCTCACAAAGTGGGGCAAAGCTATTTTTGCCAATAGAATGACCATATTAGGAGGGCTTTAAACCAAGAATGACAGAGGAGGGAGAGAGTGAGGGAGTGATGGACAGGTTCACTGAGCAAAGGGCATGGGGTGGTGTGACAGGAAGGAAACACAAAATCAACAAAATGGGGCTTAGGGTCACCTGCAGCACTTGCATGTAATCAAGGAAGTGCCTACAAGGCACCATCATGGAGAAATCCCCAAACCCTTTCTAGGAAGTCAACATACTGGGGTGCCCCTCTGAAGTGTCTGTACACTAATACACTCGGAATGGGGAATGAACAAGATGAGTTAGAAATCTGGGTGCAGTTGCAGGGCTACAGTCTTACTGGGATGATGGAGATGTGGTGGGATGGTTTCCATGACTGGAGTGCTGCAAAGGAGGGATATAGGATCTTTAGGAAGGACAGGGTGGGAAGATGAAGAGGGGGAGTTGCCCTTTATATGAGAGAGCAGCTGGAGTACATGGAGTTCTGCCTGGGCATGGATGAGGAGCCAACTGAGATCAGTTTATGGGTTAGGATTAAAGAGAGGACGGGTAAAGGTGACAGTATAATGGGTAGCTGCTGTAGGTCACCTCACCAGGAAGAACATGTGGATCAGACCCTCTGTAGACAGATAGGAGCAGCCTCAAGTTTGCAGGCCATAGTCCTCGTGGTGGACTTCAACCTCCCTGGTATCTGATGGAGGGATAATACAGCAGGACAGCAGCAATCGGGGAGGTTCTTGGAGTGTATTGATGATAACTTCCTCCTCCAAGTGACAGAGGAGCCAAGGAGAGGTATGCTGCTGGACCTCATACTCACCAACAAGGAGGGGCTTGTTGGGGGTGTGAAGGTCAAAGGCAGCCATGGCTGCAGTGACCATGAGATGGTGGAGTTAAGGATCCTGAGAGCAGGGAAGAGGATGAAAACTGAGCTCACAACTGTGGACTTCAGGAGAGCAGACTTTGGCTTTTTCAAAGATCTGCTTAGAGGAGTCCCATGGGATAAGGCCCTGGAAGGAAGGGTGGCCCAAGAAAGCTGGTTAATATTTGAAGATCACCTTTTCCAAGCTGAAGAGAGTTCCATCCCAATTAATAAGTTGGGCAAAAGTGCCAGGAGGCCTGTGTGGATGAACAAAAGAGCTCCTAGCCAAACTGAAACACAAAAAGGAAGCATACAGAGTGGTGAAGCAAAGACAGGTAACCTGGGAGGAATGCAGAAACATTGTCTGAACATCCAGGGACAAAGGTAGGAAAGTTAGAGCCCAAATGGAATTGAATCTGGCTAGGGATCTCAAAGACTACAAGAAGGACTTCTATAAATACATAGAAGACAACAAGAAGACTAGGGAAAACGTGACATATTGATCAATGAGGTGGGAGACCAAGTGACACAGGCCATGGAAAAGGCTGAGGTACTGAATACTTTCTTTGCCTCAGTCTTTACAAGCAAGACCGGCCTTCAGGAATCCCAGAGACCAGCGGGAGAGGTTAGAGCAAGGAAGCTGTTCCCTGGGAGGAAGAGAATCAGGTCAAGGAATACTTAAGCAAACTGAACATCCATAAGTCCAAGAGCCCTGATGGGATGCACCCATGAGTGCTGAGGGAGCTGGCTGATGTCATTGTGAGGCCACCCTCGATAATCTTTGATTAATCAATCATTGCGTCTGGGAGAAGTGCCTGAAGACTGGAGGAAAGCAAATGTCACTCCTGTATTCAAGAAGGGCAAGAAGGGAGACCCAGGGACCTACAGGCTAGTCAGCTTCACCTCGATCTCTGGGAAAGTAATGTAGCAGCTAATCCTGGAAACCATTTCCAGGCATGTTAAGGACAAGAAAATCATCAGGCGTAGTCAGCATGGCTTCATCAAGGGGAAGTCATGCTTGACCAACTTGATAAACTTCTATGATGAAATGACTGGCCTGGGAGATGAGGAGAGAGCAGTGGATATTGTCTACCTGGACTTCATTAAGACCTCTGATACTGTCTCCCATAAGGTCCTTATAGACAAGCTGTTGATATATGGGCTGGATAAGCAGACAGTGAGGTAGACTGAAAACTAGCTCAACGGCTGGGCCCAGAGCGTGGTGGTC